CCCCCCTTCCTTCTCCCATGAAACCAGCTTAGTCCAAGAGTGCTTCCATTATTTCTCTCATCTTTTGTTTGGAAGGCCTGAGACTCCAGGGCATATTTTGGTATCTAGGCATTGCAGGGGAACAAGGGAACTTCTGTTGCATGTTCCACACGGGTAATGCTACCTGCTTACAGAGAGGATTAACCTCCTTTATCATAGTACAAGCACAAGAGTGTTGTTTTACATATCACTTGTGGATTCCATATAGAATTTAAAATTTTAGAACGCTTTCCTGAAATTATATTGGCGGAATCACTCTTAAAATGTACGCTTAGGGGCTAGGATCCTGATTACTGATGATGTCTTTCTGCATTATCTAATAAAAATAAAACAGATGAAGAAGCTTTCATTTCTTTTAGGATTCATGCGCTGTTGATTGGGATTGTTTTTCACCTCTACACACTACTTTGAAGGATGATAGAAGTTAGCAAACACTCACTTGCAAATATATGATCTTGCTTGGTGAAGTCCTTTTATTTTGAGGTGATTAATTTTTATTTTAAAGGTAATAGAAGAATTGCAGACTGCACCAGTGAATAATGAAGAAAAAGAACTACTTCAGCTGTTGTCAACACCACATCTCAGGGTAAAGATACCAGAGACCTTAACAAAATTTCTTTGCAGCATTCTAGTGTAATGGGAAAGTTTACATTGGAGAGTCCCTAAGAGAAAGGAAAAACTTTCTACAAACTGTAGTTCTTTTGCACTGATTTCCTGCACAGGCTTTAGGATGTGAAGGAGATTGAGAAGATGCAGCATAGGTGTTTCATGCATAATGCACCATGTTGTCATCTCTCCCCCGCATTAATGTTTTCTGAGGGAGCAGAAAAGGATACCATTTCTCCATTTTTTGCTTTCCACAGTTGACCTCCATTCTGTAGGATGGATCTAGGCTGAGCTTTTTTTTATTGTCTGGATTTACTTTAAATATCAACATATACCAATATATAGTTTACATGATGGGTAAGATAATTTTTACTTTTTTTTTTTTTTCTGGATTTATGGTGTGGGAAGGGATATTTAAGTTTGCTATAATGTTGAAAACATGAGAACTGGAAACTGTAATATTGCCCCATTACATTGCTGGTTCTTATTTCCTTTATGCAGGCAATGCTTGTAGTACATGACACTGTTGCACAGAAGAACTTTGACCCAGTCCTTCCACCTCTACCTGATAACTTTGATGATGATTTTGATGAGGAATCAGTGAAAATTGTTCGGCTAGTGAAAAATAAAGAACCCTTGGTACATATAAGATGATTCATCTGTAGTCATAAAACTAGTGAAAAAGCGTTATTGTGAGTATGGGAGAGATACTTGAAGATGTCATCAAATGGTCTGTGAGAACTAGGAGTGTTGTGAAGCTAGTAAAATAACATTAAAAAAACTTGGTAAATACACCTTCACAATTTTGTGTGAGAGGTTTTGTAAGCACGGGTTTATAATGCCAGTTAACCCAGGGAACACTATCTCTGAGGAGACTGTGTATGTTGGAGCAATTATGCTTATTAGACATACTAATTCTTATTGTAGCTAATGTTCAATGATTTAATACCCTAATATGCGTGAACATCGGTGATGTATGGTAAAACTATGTTTGATAGCTGTATGTAGACATTTTATTGACAAGGTAGTAATATTATACAAATGGAAATGGAAGAATTGATTTCCTAAGAAAAAGCAATTGCCTTGGGGAACAAATCTGCTAAAGTGCTTTTTCTTATGACAGTGGGTAGTAGAAGAGAGCAGTGACTTAATTTCTGATTAAAACTTTATATTGCCAGCAGAGGTAGGAGAAAGAAAAAAAAAAAAAAAATTACATGGCTTTCCTTGCTTGTATATGCTAAAGTGCTGGCTTGTTGTATAAAGATTCAGAAGACACATAGAGAAAGTTTGTTGTAAGAAATTCCGTTTTGCACACTTGACTGACTTTGATCACCACAATAATGTAGGTAAGCGTAAGCGCTTGGCAAAGGTAGCAGAAAGGAAGGTGCACGCACCTGCCCACAGTCGCATGACATGGGGACAGGCAAAAGTTGAATAATGGTGAAAACTGTCAGGGACAAAGACAAAATTTATAGAACAGGTTCATTCAAGTTTAAAAGATATATTGGCTTACGTGTTATTTCACCACTCACTGTATTCTAAGAAAATTTCTTATGATGGTTTGGGGGGGCGGGGTGGGGCCTTATGTTTTATTTCAGGGAGCTACCATCAGAAGAGATGAGCATACAGGAGCTGTGATTGTAGCAAGGATCATGAGAGGTGGTGCAGCTGATCGCAGTGGTAACTGTCCGAAGAAAAGGGGATTTAAATTGCTTTTGTGAACTGTTTTAAATTTCCAAAATTATGCATGCATGTACTGTATACACATACCTAGGGCAATAATCTCTAACTAAATCTGATGGTTATTCATTCCAAAATCAGTTCTTTGCATGTGGGTGTTTAAATGATTTTTTTTAATAATCTATACATATATAACAGCCTGTCCATCTTAATAGGCAACTGTTAGATGTCAAGTCTGAACTTGTATGTAGGCACCCTGTGTAGTCAGTGGAGCGAGGTGTACATTGCTGGAGAAACAAATCATGCTAGCAAGCTTTAGAATGATGCAGGTCACTGCTGGAATTGCCTCTCTTCCTCGCTGATTATAAAGGAAGCCTACATGGTAAGCTCACTTGACAACCAAATTTCTGGTGCCTAGTGGAAAAATCGGCTTCTGCATGTAGGTTGTCATTCAGTATGCTTTCAGGATCTACAGGATTAATTCACGTAGTAGTTGACCTTCCATTTTCTAGGTGGTGATCATCCAGATTTTATTAAACAAGCTCAGGTGGCCTTATATGAGATTGATAGAATCCAAGCCTCATGCACTTTTTTTTAATATACAAGTAATGCAATCCCAAAATCAATGAATTACTGTGATGAAAAAATATTAGCTAATTACTGCTTTCTTCCTGACTGTTAATCATTCTTCAAATTAGTGTCTGATAAATGTAATGTGAAATGACTAGAGCATGCACTTGGCATTTCTGCATTTCATCAGTTATCTTTTAATTTCATTAGATATGTTTTTCTCTAAAATAGCTGCTAGGAAAAAATGAAAAATGAAAAAATGAAAGAAGCTTTAGAAGAAGAATGTTTTTCACATTTAATCTACTATCTTGGTTTATTCAGTATATTGTCTTGTTTTCTGTTTGCTTTACTCAGAAATTCTTTTATGTCAGTTAACATGAGTTATATAACACAAGTACAACATTTGTTACTGAACTGGATAAACAAGCCTAAAACTTGTAAGGGTGTCTTCATGGCATTGTTAAAAAAAAAAAAAAAGTCCAACATTCTTTCTGGGACACTGGAGTGTTGTTCTGTCAGTTGATGGCCATGTCCTTTCTGCCTTCATAGTCAGCAGTGTGTCTCCTGACTCTACAAGATTTGATCATCCTCATGAAACTATTCCAGTTTACATTCTTAGTGCTGATCCAAATATAGAGGCAGTGATTTTGAAGAGTGTCTTGCCACATGTTCTCCATCTCCATGTTGGTATCCTATGAGACTGTGCTGCATGAGAAAAATATTCCACTCGGAGTAAGGGTGGGAGACTTCAGCACACATTGCCAATGGAAGCAATTGGCTCTAGTAGGAAATCTGTTAAGCTGGGGGAGGAAGGAGAGGAGATACGTGCTGTTGACTTAGGTTAGACATCAGAAGAGTGGTGCTTTCCAGTCTGTAGATTAATGTAATTTATTTACCATCTTTTCAGGTCTTGTCCATGTTGGAGATGAACTAAGAGAAGTCAATGGTATTACTGTGCTTCACAAACGACCGGAAGAAATAAGTCAGATTTTGGTCTGCACTGATTTTCATTTTAGTATCTTTTCTGTTGGGTGATCTAGTAATTACAATAGATGATGAAATTTAACCGTGAGTTTAAAATATGTATAGAGCTAAAAGATGCAATCCCTGCTTGTCTTTGTATTTAGTTTTTCTTCTCCCAGTGGATTAGTCTTCTCCTTTTGACTTCAGAAACTTCTGTGAACTGAATTGGTACCAAGTAAGATACAAAAGTTACCTGTTGCTCTGTCAGGAACTTCCCTTCCATGCTTTATGACGAGCAAATTAAAAATGCATTCCTAGAAGGTATATTCACAATATATGTTAGGAATCTGAAGAAAGTCTCAGCTATGTGTCCAATAGAGCTGTCAGTCTGTTCTTTACCAGCAGATCCCTTGCGACATTAGCAAATTCTCTGATCTTCTCTAACATTAATGCCCACAAATCTTGGTAGAAGGTGTCATAGCTCTCAATTGTCTGTGACTCCCCTCTTGTCCCCCTTGTCCTGGTGTGGAGTAGAGTTAGGGACATGGTTAGAAGAATGGCAATGCTAGGAGACTAAAGTATCTGGCATTGGTTCCATAACACAAATTTAGATCAAAATAATCCTGAATAAGGAGAATGACTGATTTTAACTTGGGCAGCGGGAGGATCAAAATCATATTTTGAAATACTGTGTAAAGTTTTATTTGTGAGGACCCTGGGATGCTATTCATCTGTCCTAATGCCTTCAATGTAATAGTTTCTTTTTCACTTTTTTGGGTTTGTTTTGGGTTGGGGTTTTTTTTTGAGGAATAGCTACAAATGTTGCCCAAGTGGATTGTTGTCTGGGTTTCCTTTTTAATTGGTGCAGAATAGCAGGCTTCTCTAGGACACAGTTCATTTTATCCAAATTAAGGCATCTAAAATAGATCAGAGAATCTGTTCCAGATATTTTCAAAGCACCTAGAAGTGCTTTTTAATTAACTAATAATTGAAATTTACTAGCAAAGATTTTTAGAGTGCAAGTAAATTTTTACTTTGTAGATGTTTACATTTCATCCTAACCAGTTAGCTACTCAGTGGGAAAATATAGTAGTATTTTTCAAAGGAGCACTTTGAAGTGGTTAGTCTGCAAAAACTTAAGTTACGTCTTTAATGCCCTGTGAACTGTAATCCAGAAATTAATGCAGTTGCTAAAAGCAACTGAAGCAATTTTAATGCAGGTCTTAATATGTTCTCACCAAGTAGTTACTGTAGATGTCTCCATGGGGAAGACACTTATGTGGAGGATTTATGGAACACCATGATCGTCTCTGTAATGAAGTTAAAATAGTGGATTAGCTTGGCCTGTTAAAGGTCTGAGGAGACAGACGCTAACTCCTAAACTGGAATTTGAATAGTCTGCATTGTGTCCTTGGCCTACTTTCAAAGTAAAAAAACCATTTCTCTCTTTCTCAGGCTCAGTCTCAGGGATCCATAACATTAAAAATAATTCCAGCCATCAAAGAAGAAGATCGTCTAAAAGACAGCAAGGTATGCAACTTAGTGAAATACTGAAGCACACATTTTCACATACACACAGTTCTGACATCTCTGTAAATGCAAGATTCCCGCTGTTGCAGCGAGGAGTGTCACAGACCCATAATTGAACTATAAAGATAGTAGAGCAGTTTCTTGTAAAATGCGGTGCCCTTTTTATTCAGTTCATAGCATGTCTGAAATCTAGCCTCTTCTTTTTGTTCACGTAATTAAAATTGGTGTTCCTGCCAGTCTCCTCTTACCATGACAGCTGCTATCTGTCCATTATCTCTGGCCATTTTGCCATTCCCTTGAGTCAAAGCAGACTTATTTGCAAACAGAGCTGCATTCATCATTTGACCCATTAGCCCACTGCAGACATCAGCACGCCTCTCTGCATCGTTTGCCCTCCTTGATCAGCAGTGGCTTACTGTTCAACTGGTCCCTTTACAGGATTCCTCTGTTAACCTCTATTTCTGCTTCCCTGCTCTCAGTTGCCAGATTTCTTTTTGAAACCCTGCAAATCACTTTTAAAAAGAGTTCTGTGATGTGTTAAATAGTGGTAAGATACAAATCCGAAGTTGAATAGTAGATTTTGATGCATTAAAGGATTATTTTTAAGGACAGTCTTTATAATTGGGCAACTCTGCCATAAGTCCCTTTTTATTGTTTTCTTCCTCCCCTTAATCTTTTTTCCTTTGTTGCGTTTTGTACTTGCACAGACTGTGAACTGCGTTTCTTGGGACTTTGAGTCCCATGTTCCACAATGCACTACATAATGGGTGGATATGTGCTTGAAAGTCAGCTTATTTTTCTGCGTGAGCAAGTGAGAATACAGGTGAAGCTTTCTAGGTTTCAGTATTTTGGAGTACTGTAAAGCATAAAGGAGAGGAAATGAAGAGTATAGTTAGCAGTGTAAGCACTGGAAACCTTTTAAAAGTAGTTTGAAATTCCAAACAGGAAAAGAAGAAAGGATATGTTCTTTGTTTTAAAGGTGTTTATGAGGGCACTTTTCTGCTATAATCCCAAAGAAGACAGAGCCATTCCTTGCCAGGAGGCTGGACTGCCATTTAAGAGACGGCACATCCTAGAAGTTGTAAGCCAAGATGATCCCACATGGTGGCAAGCAAAGCGTGTTGGCGATACCAACCTCAGGGCAGGCTTGATCCCCTCAAAACAGTTCCAAGAAAGGTTTGTCAATGAAGATTACAGATTTTTATTTTTTTTTCCACATATACAGTGTCACACTGATTTTATGCTGTTTTTTTTCACAGGAAATAAAGGGCAGGATCATGTCAGGGTGCATACCAGATGTTTAGAGAAAAGTGCTAAAAAGCTGCATCTTCTCCAATTATATAATAAATTTCCTAGCTTTCCTTGGCTAATTTGTCATTGACTTATGCTTTGTAGCATAAGGACAGAAGCACTTGCTACACAAGCCTGTATGAAATGAAATGTGGAGTATCGGTCTCTTGACCCTATTGGCTTATGGAGGCTGCATTTCAGAGACCTGTACTTCCATTGGATAAGAGGAAATGCCAATTTATTGTAACAGTTTTGAATTTATGCATGTAGTAATAGTAGTTAAAAAAAAAAAAGTGTGATCCTTTTTCTGGTCCCTAAAAGTTTTTAGTTTGGACCTGGATTCCTTCTAGAGCATGAAGTCTCTTTGTTGTCACAGAAAGACAGGTGTATCTTCTAAAGCAAAAATATCCCTCAAGTCTTGTATTTATAGTACAGAAGTCTTATATTTAAGAAGGAATCTGATTTAGACCAGTGGTCTCATTGTGTGATTCTTACTCCAAATTACTGGATATGTCTTCTAGGTGTTACAAACGTGGGGTGTTCAAAAATTAAACAGTTCCGATGCTATTGCTGGCCTCGCAAGATTTACGTAGGGTTTCTGATAGAGGACTTTACAGCACTGTATGAATGCTCCTTTGAAATACTAATTAAATTCTGCCTGAACAGCTGTATCCTTTTTCCTATAAATACATATATGTCAGCAAATGCTGCTGTACCATAGTCCTTTTTTTTTCTTTTTTTTTTCAGATGTTGTAAATTACATTTTAATATATGCAATAATATAGAAATGGCTTCAATGTCTGTTTCCCTGAGTGACTGTAAATGCCTGAGCATCTTCTTTAGTCTGTTATGAATGTTGGTCTGTTGCAAAAATCACTTGGAAAGAAAATGTGTTTTCCTTTGCTAGCAGTGAGAGGTTTCTTGGGGTTTGTTTTTTTGTGCTGGGTTGTTGGGGGTTTTTTGGGGTGGGCTGGGGTGGGTCTTTTGAGCAAAGACTGGGAGTTTAGGAGTTGAGCTCTGGTTCATGATTTTAACACTTCAGATATTTTTACTTGATACCCTGTTCTTATATTTCTACACAAGCTGGGTAACTTGGTTTGTTTACTAGTAAATTACAGAAAACTCCAAACTGATCTAGAAAGCAGTGGATAATTTCTAAGTGTGCATAGCTGCAGTGATTGTTTTGGACAAAGGTTATCTACTGAGTTCTCTTCGAGGTTAGTAGTTTTAGGATTTTAGCAGACAGGAATTTTGCCCATCCTTTGTAAAAATGGCAAGTAGAAGTTGGATTCTTAGCAGAAATAGAATAGAATACAATAGTTGTTCTCTTAATCTTGCAAAAAAGATTGGGTGGAGAAAAGGAAATTACGTTTTAAAAATATGTTGAAAAAAGTAATGTGCTGTTGATTTTTGTGCTCTGATGTATGAAAACCTAAAATGTTTTACTATCTTCTCTCTCAGTCACTTATCAGTAGCAATCTGGGACCATCACAGCTTTAAAGAAAAAGTCTTTTAAAATGTTGAATCAGACATTTATATTTTTCAAGGAAAAGCAGTATTTAATTTTTTATTTTCAATGTTATAACATGTTACACATTCTTTATAATTCTGAGCTTACATGGCTAACATATAATTATTTTCTGTTTAGACGGTTGACTTACAGAAGAACAATAGGCACTCTTCAGAATCCCAGAACTGTGAAGAAACCATTATGTAAGTTTGTTCTGTTTCTTCAGTGGTGTCTTGGTTGATACCAGCTTCTCGGTATTTTTCTGTTATGTCAATAATGATGTGTTTGAACATGTTTTGTGTAATCTGTCACGGATTGATTTGCATGGATACAAGCTGCCACGTGAGATGATTTGGGTTTGAGCTTTATCCAGTGTTGCTATTGCCTATTGTTTTAAAAAAACGTGGCTGTCCCTCTTCCTGCTTTCATGAACATAAGGCCTTTGTTTAGATGCTTTAAAATATGCTAGTGTTCACATTTTTCCTATGGTTTGAAATTTGAAAGCTGCAAAAGTAAGCCACTGCACACTTTTTTAAATTCTTATATAAATGCATGAAATGACTAGGCTCATATGAAATTAAGCTGTAGCTTTAAGGCAGATAAAAATCACTGGAGCTGGCACTACCATCTGCATTTCAGACTTAGCATTACAGAGCTGGTCTTAAGTAGACTTTGAAGTGATTCTTGTTCACAGCTCTGAAGCCTTTTGTCAGTGAATTATTCCCACAAAAACTGCCACTTGTGATGAAATTGCTAGTCAGTGATGAAGGGCAGAAGACATTCTGTATTATCCCAGAATATAATGCTCCTCTTGCTCTTGGGTACTTCACTACAGCTGTTACTGATGGGTGGGGCAGCCATGTGACACTGATGCCAGACATTGTGCTCAGAGTGCCACCCTCATGTAGGCTAGGAATCTGGAAACTGCCCATCTTCAGTGATATAAGTGAACTGACTCGTGGTGCAAGGCACATGTAATGAAGAGATACAGGTATTCTGCGACAAAGAGGGGGGAGAATGCTCAACCAAATCATAAAAATAGCATTATTGATTTAAACGAAGCTTTTCCAAATTAGTTTCCATTACATTTAATGTTAGGAGGCATGTAATGAGTATTGCTACTTGGGCTTTTTCTCAGATGTTCATAAGACAATTAAGCTGATAACCAGTTATAATACTGAATTTTAACCAAAAAAATCTTTAATCACTTAATAAGGGTACATTACTGCTTTTTTTTTTTTAAAGATAGAAAAGTCTGTTAAGCAAATCAGCCCAGAAGAACCTTCCATTCCATTCCCTCTAATTTTACTCAATCATTTGCCAGTCTTTTAATATCATACCAACTCTGCCTTTCATGCTAACTACAGATGATCAGTCTTCTGATAAAGGTAGGTACTCTGCTAACTCATTTTCTGTCTGAATATAAACAACCAATGCATTTTCTAAAATACTTGCTAAGCCCCCAAGCAAAGGGAATAGTAGATACAGCTTATTCCTACAGCATTTTTTTCCCTGAGTTATTTAAACTCATTTTATTTGGATTGATGACATAGGTAATGATAACTTTCAAATTTACTCCTGATTCAAGAGAAAGGATTTGTGTCTTCTGATACTCATTTACGTGTTGTGTAGGTTTCTGAGTGAGGTTGAAAGAGTTGCAAGTTAAATGCGGTCTTTATCTGGTACTTTTTAACAAACACTGGGGTTTAACAACTTAGAGCACCTGTTTAAAACCAAACTGATTTTTCTTCACTGTTCGTTTGGACTGTTTTCTGTGTTATTTTCATTATGAGCAACTGTGTTGGGCCCATGCAGTTTATATGTCACTGTACCACACGCCTTTCCAAATATCAGGTATTTTCTGTTGAATTCTGCATGCTGTGATGACTACTTTTTTTTTTTTTTTTTTTTTTTCTAAGTTTTGGTGTTCCATAAACTTTGGTGAAAGTACTAATCATACTGTATAATGAGCTGGCTGTGACTGGTATACTCTGTTGAAGCACGAGTGTTAAACTAGAGCCTATCTTCAACAGTAGACAATAGCTCTGATCTTAGCTATTGCTACTAGTATTTTCTCTTAATGTAGGCATAATGTTTTATGAGTATACGTTGGCATTGCTTGATTACATAACTGCATGAAACTATTCATTAAAAACCAAAACCTTGTCTGAATTGGTGCATTTTATTAAAAGTTTAAGCTGCGTACATTTTTGCCTGTGGTTGGGCTTGTCCCAGAACCATACACCTCCTTCTTAAAATGAGTGGAGTTCTGTGGGTATTGCAGTGCACAGGTGCATAAATTTTCACAAGCCATATAGTCTTCTTTCAGGAAGTACAAGAACCTGGTATTTGTCTTAGGATAGCAGCATAGTGTTTTGCAGCTTAGTATCATGGTTTTATTTTGCATACTTTTAGGGGCCTTGGGGGTGGTTGTAGTTTGAGGAGGAGTAAGTTGGCTCTTTTTAACATATATTTGCAAATTATTTTGCATATGTCTGGCAAAAGCATCGACTTTTAATTCTTAATAATAATAAGCAATGATAATTTTAGCTTTGTCAAAACAAAGTTGTTTAGAGCTCGTATTTGAGTCATCTCTGATTCCTTTTTTTTTTTTTTTCAAGCCCAAATGATACTGAAATGTCAGAAGAGACAATTATTCTTACACAATCATACCCATTTATAGTCATACATTTAAAAAAGAGCTCTGTGTTTTCAGAGTTTTCTTTTTTACTTAAGTCTGAATGTTATACTTCTAGCAGCAGTGCTGATGAAATGTCATAAATGCTGAAGAGCATAAATTCCAGGATTGGTAACTACTGAGATGTAAAATTTTCTTGTGCACTATTGACATCAAAGATTTTTTTAAAAAACACAAGCCACTAGCCAAGGCAAATATTTTTTTGTATCACTAATATTCATGTTAGAAAAGTATCTGTGCATAATGGAGGATATAAAAACTTCTCCTTCCCTCAGCAATGAACCAGACTTGTATCACAGGCACTGTTTAAGATACCTCCCTCCCCCCTCTCACTTGCATTTCCCCTGTGCCTTTAACCTCCCCCTCCGCTCTTTAATTTACAGAAGACTGTGACTGCGAAGGATACTTCAATGGACACTACATAGGTGAGAAACAAAAATCCCTTTCCTCTTCCCTAACACCCTCCCACCAAAAAAAAAAAAAAAACAAACTAAAAACCCACAAACAAAACATAACCCCACTCCAAAAAAACACCTCTACATTAAAGAAGAAAAACTAGCTTATTTACGTTAATTTCCCATATATTCATTAATTGAATTATCTCTGTGCAAAGGCACAGCCAACACTTGGCAACTCAAGGTGATATGAGGGGGATTTTATTATAGATTGGGTGCTTGGTTTTCTACCTAATACACAGATTTTTTCATTGATAAGATTAGCATATGAGCACTGATTTGTTTATAAAAAAGTCTGTGAGTAACTCATATTCAAAGGGTAACTACTAGCTGAAGGAGATTCAAAATTTAGGTAAGTAGAAACATGGCTTAATGTATCTTTTGTTTTCCTCTACAGCTGGCTTACGCAGGAGCTTTAGATTAAGTCGTAAAGAGAAGGAAAATAATCTGAATGAAGGAAAGCAAGCTGAGCAGGCAGATGCAGCAGAGTTCCTAACGTATGAAGAAGTCACGAAGTATCAGCAGCAGCCTGGTGAACAGCAGAGGCTGGTGGTTTTAATTGGTGAGATACACAGTTGGTTCAGAATTCCTCACGTATCTCCCTCTTCCCTTACTGGCTGCACTCCAAGAGGCTTTCTTTAGGTGTTTGGTTTTGGTTTTTGTGGTTCTGGTGGGTTTTTTAAAGGTTTTTCTGGGTTTGGTCAGAAGTTGTTCTTTTCTTCTAAATGACATTTAAAACAAACAAAAAACAACCAAGCTCACCAAATCCTCCTAAAAATAATGATGCAGGACTATTTCTCATTTTTCTGATTCACTTTCCACTGGTTTTTACTCAAACATGTGCATACTTATGCTGTGGATGAAAAGGTAGATGTTAGAATTAACTAACAGAATTTTGCATGCTATTTTAATTCAGTGTGCTTAACATATTTGTGTTAAGCCAGATTTTCTAGATACCCTAGAAATCAAGGATATCTCATAAAACTGACTGCTAAGATGTCAGGTTTTCTGACAGATGTTTTTCCAACAGCTGTTCAGGATTCAGTTTGTTCTTGATGTTTTTCAGAGCACAGTGAGGCAGGTCATGAGGTCTCTCATGTACAGGTTTCTTCAAGCACACTCCTGTTATCATTATTTGTGTGAAATTAGTATTATTTATTCTCTTTGCAGTATTTCATTCCACACAGAAATCTGTCGGTTGGTTCTATTTTATTAGGTTGTTTGGGGGCCAAGTTAAGTGAGCTCAAGCAGAAAGTTGTGTCAGAGAACCCACAGGAATATGGTGTTGCAGTTCCACGTGAGTAAAACTGACTTTTGTGTGTTGCCACTTTTCATAGATGCTGTCTCATAGTGTAGTGCTAGGTGATGCATGGTAATTTGTGGTTTGAGTATTGATTATATGCGTATTTTAGAAGTACTTCGAATTTTTTTTTTTCATGGTTATATACTGTGTTTGCCCTTAATAGATGAAGAGATCACTATATAACTTGGCACATACACACTTTGGAATTTTGTCAACTCGGTTGATTTTTTTCAATTGTGTTTTCCCAGGTGAGCAGATTGCATTTTCTGTGTCCATTAAAGAAATGAGAAACTGAATGCAGGAACAAAAAATAAGGTTGTAAATTGCAAAAAGAACTAGTGTGAAAAGCTAGTAACATAAGATTCAGCCAAAACATTGTATGTGTTTAAAAGAGGATGACTTTTCTTCAGAATATACCAGCTAATTTTTTTTTTTTTTTTAAAAGTAGACAGCAATAAACCAAGTCAAAATTTTTACAAGAATTAAAATTTTTGATTAGTGTATTTAGGCTGTTCAAACCAGCAGTCACAGTGACAGAGGAGTTAGTGATTCTGCTGCATAATTCTGTGGCAAGAGTTACACTTAAATTTTTTTCTGGATTATTTTTCAAATAAAAATATTAGACATAAAAAAATTTCCATCAATATTTGTATTCTCCAACAAGCTACTTTTGCAATCCAAAAAATCAACACTTAAGTCACTGTTTATATGTTATTTAAGACTTTTAAGAAACATCAGGCAGACATTCAACTAGTTAGCAGTAGAACTCCTATGTGTAATTTTTATTTGAATTTCAACATGTACACAAAAAATAGCAGACATCACTTTTATGGCCAGGCATAAATTTCTAGCATGATTACCAAAGCTTCTCCTACAGTAATAACAACTCTTAAAAGAAATTAGGACATCAGAGGCATGGGACATACATTATTATGTAAGTTTCACAGAGGTGTAGGAAAACAGCCAGGGATGGTATTTAAATTCAGAAGCAACATAATAGGACTTCATATATTTCCTATTTTTATTTTCTAACTTTCAAAGAAAATGAGAGTCCAGTATTCCAAACAGGTAAGACATACTGTTTTCCACAGGATATACTCTACTGCTTCTATTGGATGCAAGAAGTGTGTCTCCTAATTTTTGTGTTAGTTACAGCATGCTTGGGAGCAAAACAACTTCATTTTTGGTCTTACAATTTTTTAGATTGAGTTTAAAACAAAATTGTAACGTTTAATTTATGTTTTCTATTAATTTGAATGTGCCAGTGTGTAACTAACTTGTTTGAGGTCACAAAAATGTGACTGAAACTAAACAGATAAAATATAGTTGTGTACAAAGGCTGATGTGTCTCCTGTGTCTTGCTTCCATTCTCTTGTAGATACCACCAGGTCAAAGAAAAGTCATGAGAAGGAGGGAGTAGAATACAATTTTGTCTCTAAGCAATCATTTGAGACAGACGTGCAGCAAAACAAGTGAGTTCATTTTAAAATACAGGCATAACTGACTGTATTCAAAAAATATTGCTAGTTAAATCTTGCATCATATGAATACCGAAATCAGGTGGGAAGTTAAAATGTGAATTCCAGCTGTATTAGAAGGGTTCAGCTTCCCAGGTAAAAAGCTTTTTATTCAGTTTAAACAGTGTGAACTCAGAAATTTAGTAAGAAGCAATTTAGAAACAGCCCAGGACTAGTAGGAGGATTGTAAGTTAGAATTTAAGCCTGCATATCATGATGGGTAACAAGTTTCATTCGTAAGTCCACTTTAAAGTGTGTTGTAGACTGAATCTGTGGATATAAAGGACTTTCTGTAAGATCCAGTGTTTTCTGAAGAACAGATTTTTGGCTGGTGTCCCAGAAGATTGAATTCAAGTCTGTTTCCTTGCCAGCTTAGTTCTATTTTCTGTGAAAAACATCCTCTTTCTTCTGTTAGGCTTGAACACCAGTCAACTGAACTAATAATGCAGCTTCCTCCCCTATTTGTCAGTACCCCTGATTAGCTATTAGTGACATGTGAAGACTATTGCTACTAAGCAACCAGAAGGAAAAAAATAATCAGGAAAACACACACACACACACACACACACACACACACACACACACACACACACCCTTGACTACTCTGACTTCAGTAAGCAGCTATCAAATATTGTAAGTTAAATATTCTTTGTGGATGATATTTTAAAATGCATTGACTTTTTAGATTTGTGGAACATGGAGAATACAAAGAAAATCTGTATGGTACAAGTCTTGAGGCAATCCGGTCCGTGATGGCCAAAAAGAAGGTTTGTTTGGTGGATGTGGTACCTGAAGTAAGTTCTGCAGCTTATTTTAAAGAAAGCAAGTACTTTACTAGGCTGCCAGGCTAAGTAACTGATGTGTTTGCCATTTGTGGCTACTTGCCCTGCAAAAAACAATACTGCTCTCAGAACTTGAGTTTCGAAGAGGTGGCCTGCATTGCTAGCTAAGGGGAATAAGGTCTTTAGAAAGCAGTGCAGTGTTTACAGTTCCTAGATGTCTGATACAGCTTAGATGACACTTTATCAGTTCTGTGGGATTTTTCCCTTGCTGTAGGAGAAATGTGCATCACTGTCCTAGCCTGCTCAAGTTGTAGAGAGAATACTTAAGAGTGTGTGGATAGGTTTTTCATTCTTGTTCTTTCCTGTTGCCTCTGAAGCTTTCCTGGTGTTGTAATCAGTACCAGTATGCCTGCTCTGAATCCATACTGGGATTTAATCTTTGAAATAATTGATTCAGATTTTGTAAATGGGCTAGGAAAAGACTTGTAATACCACCTCAGCTGAATTCTGGTTTAAAATTTCCAGCGTTTGGCCACTTAAGCAAAGCAAACTGTAACTTGCCTGTCAAGTCAGGCTTTTTTTTTTTTTTTATACTTTTCTTAGTATGTTTTGCCATGTCCTTGTTGATGATACTGCAATGCATAGCAAAGCAGGTGTGCAGTCAGACCTTGCTCCAGGAAGCTCATGTGCTCTTGTAAGCTAGCCAGGACACTGACATTAACCTTTCTTTTGAAGAGCAAAAGGTTACTGTGGCCAGATGTATAGTATGCAGGCATTCACACCACACTGTGTACTGATGAAACTGTTGAATCCAGTTTGAGTAGATCATTGACATATAACAAAAAAAAATTTTTTTAAACGGTGTAACAAAAAATATCTGTTCACAGGCAGTAAAGCACTTGAGGACTCCTGAGTTTAAGCCTTATGTTATCTTTGTGAAGCCTCTAATTCCTGAAAAGAAAAAATATGTCCTAAAATCTCCCATGTCAGAAGAAATCTCAGCCCCCCTTGTAAGTATTCTAACTTTGATCTCTTCTTTTTAGACATGAAAACAACTATTTGGGCTAGCACTTCTATGATATGGAAGAGCTGCTCTTCCACAACAGTGAGATTTGTGACTCAGTTTAAAATTTGACTATGTAAGTAACATGAACTAATCTTCCATGTGGATCTGTGTATACCACTCAAGGCTGCTGCAGGGGAAGCTGCTACCAAACTCAGATAAACTAATATTCATTTTACATTTCTGATAAGCAGCCCCATCAAATGGTAAAGGTAGCCACCTATTCCTGATGCATTCAGAGTGACACCCACCCAGGCTGCTAATTATGTACACACAAAATGTAGCATGTGGATGTCTTACAAGGACCAAACCTAGACCAACTGCAAATTGGTGGTGTGTAAATGTGAACAGAAATACTGAGAGTGCATAATATCATTACTTTGGATAACCTGATCTTGAATTTATAGGTAACAGAACGTAGTTCACTTGTTAAGTTTTCATGTAAGCCCTTAAAATGACTAAACTTGGGAACGGTGGGTCAAGCATTCCTTCTCAGCTTTTGAGAGGTATGATTTCCAGGTGTAAGATTAGACAAGAGACTAACTTCATAAAATGCAGTGTCACCATCTTATGTCCCTCCTGTAACATGTTTTTATCCCAGTCCCTACCAGTTCTTGCGTTTTTGAAACAGCGTACCACATCCCAGTAGTATCATACTGCTCCTTGATTTTACATACCTTTGCCTAATGATAGCTGTTCTTGTTTAGTTTCCTTTCCAAGTAATGACTTGTGGTAGTATACCTAAAAATGCTAGAATTCAAAGGACATGCTGTAGATTTCATACCATCTTCTTGTGTTGATCAGCAGGATGAAGAACAGGAAATTATTAATTCAGCAGCATTCATTGAAGAGCAGTATGGCCATTTAATTGACACTGTACTGGTGAAAGAAGATCTCCAGAGTGCATGTAATCAGCTGAAAACTGTGTTAGAGAAACTAAACAAGGATTCATTTTGGGTGCCAGTCAACTGGGTTAGGCCATAGCTTGTTATCTGTTTAAGGGAAAGATTGTGTAAAAGTATCTTGTAAATACATGGATTAGAAAAGGGAAATACATCAAATTCACTTAAAAACTGCTGGTCTATTTAGGAGACTGTATGAGGAAAAACTAAACAAAGTCAGAAGCTGACACTGCCTTCCAGAATCAAAATCTTGACTAGCGGCTGTCATTTAAAAGTGAATACTCAGATTAAAGCGATCAGTAAAAGGTTGGAGTGACTTTTAAACTGTAAATAGTGCACTTTGTACAGTAGAGTTTCACAGAGGAGTCCCATAGTAGAGTTTCAGTAGTGCTAGGACACTAACCAGCTGGAATTTTCATCCTTTGGCCACAGATTTTGTGGCTAAAGGAGTATGAACAAAGTACTTTTCAGGAACCAGTATGCCTACAGCACAAGCTACTTCAGTAGGTGAGAGGGATGTCCTTTGGAGAGTGCTTAATACCATAACAGTTACTCAGAAGTTCAACTGGCTCTCAGGCCAGCAAAACATAGTTTCCCTGCACTCATGATCATTTGTTGCAAATCCTTTCCAGTTAGGCACTAAAACTAGGCCATTTACATTAAGTTGTAGCTATTTTAGTGGCTGAGAGATGGGGATTTTATGTCCATCCCACATTTCCCAGTGTCTCCAAGTTGTCTTCCCACAGGTATTAGTCTGCTCATCCATAGCATATGCCCACTTTCCTGATCTCTTCCTACTGACACAGGACAAATGTTAAACCACATCTGAATACATTTGTGTGATGAGCCAGCTCATAAATGAGATGCTTTTTAGTCTACATGAAAATATGACTGCATATGATTTAAAATAGGACTTTTAAGAAGCTTATTTTCTACAAGACATCTTTGCAAATGCCACCTGATGAGATACCACCTTGACACCAACATAGCAGCTCTGAAAAGTGCGCTAAAAAGGAGGAGGCTGAAGTACCAGGCAGCTGAGCTACCGGTCTAAATCATCATCCTTTCAGCATATATGACTTGCTCCAAATTGGGTAAAGACTTCTAGAGCATCTAACTGGCTACATCAAGTCCTGAAGAAGAAATCTTAACTGTTAGAGGACTTCATATATATTTCAGGAAGCCTGAATATACAGGATTTTCAGATGGGTGTTAGCAAGAAAAGGCAGATTCTGGAAGCATCTATGCTTTATAATTGTTTGAAAAACTTTAATTGTTGTACAGGTGCATGTTAGCTGAAACTAGTTCCTGTTTTCCATTCCCTGATGAGGTCTAAGCTTCCCTCTGTACTGTGCCCTTTAACAAAACCTTTTGCTGCACCAGTCTCATTCCTTGCATCTTAACAGTATGATGTTGTTATTGTTCCACTGCATTAAGCAAAATTTCAATGTTGTATATTAAAATCACATTTCTTATATACCAGTGTCACTGAATCTACATTAGCTCTAGCCAAAAAGTTGTGTAGAAGAGTCACCTCCTTTCCAACTGTGTATGCAGGCACCCTTTGTGTATTGGCCTGCCTCTAGGCATTGAGGTTCCCATTCCTACAGTAAACACTTTTCACAGTCAGGTATCTGCACAGCTCTGCTGCCAGTCTGGTGGCTTCAGCAAATGTACAGGAACTCCTTCACATGCAGGTGGCCTGTCAGCTCTGCCATTCATTCTGCGATCTTGCCACCACAAGTAATGTGCCTTAGAGACAGCTGCCATGTAAATTGTGACAGATGTATGACCATCCTATGAAAAACTGAGTGTAATTTTTAAAACTATCTAAGTAACAGAATTTCAAATTAAGTCAATTTATGAAAATAGGAAACAGGCAGACTGATCTTGCCATACATCTATACTGTGGATTACAAGGAGGTTTTTGTAGTCTGCAAGACAAACACACTTAGAGGATACAGATTTAATTTAAAGAAAACTAGGTAAGATACTAAGGGTCAGATTACACTTAAAGCAAGGTCACTATCATCTTGAAATATTCCAAATGACTAGCAGTAACTAAATTTGTATGCTACATGATCTAACAGTCTAATAGCAGAAATCTGCATTAAAAAAGAAGCAAGGTAAATGACAGAAGTTACAATGAGAAAGACAGAATGTTATTAAAAGTGAACTGAAATATTCAATGAGTTAAGATTATTTAAGTGTATGCAGATACTCTGTATTGATGTACACTCACAGATGACTGGGGATGCTGTCAGAAACCTTTGTTTCATTTCAGGTTCAAAGTGAAGGATGGTGAAAGGCTATGTCCTATATGCTGAAGTTTGCAGGTAGCTAAGATGAGCTGCAGTTGTGTGGTAAAAAAAAAAGAACACATGGCTCCTATCATGGTGCTTTTAGTTATTCTAAAATCCTAGGAAGAGGGTACATGCAGATGGTTGTTATCAATCAGGATGAGATTCCCATTCTGACAAAAATACTGAGTCCCTGCTGCATTAGCCACACCTGGCACATGCTCCTGCCAGTAGGGAGAAGACAAGAAGAGATTCTAAAAAAAAATCAGAAGGCAAATTTAATTCAAAGTCCTGATTTGTAAATAGTGCCAAAAGCTGTAAGGCAAAGTACTTCAGCAAACTCAAAACGCCTCTCCCTTATCCCGCTCCCCTGCCTTGCTCACACTCTTCATATTTCCTTTTATGGTTTGTAGTATTCCAGAATGAGCCTTGGTTAACATCTACAGTTTTCAGGTGGTCTTCCATACACTGGCTGTATCTGAAACTGCTTCCCTTTTTAGAAAGCAGTTGTGTACAGTACATCCAGGGCACGCTTCAGTCATCAAGCTCAAACATACATTCAGATGACTTCGAAGAATCCATTTCTCCAACCAAATTTGCAATGGGATTAAGATGACAATTTACTATAAAATAAGTACCTTCAATATAGCTATGAGATGCGCACAGATTAGAACCCCGATTACCCCTAAGCCAGCTTCTTACAATGTGTACATTGTTTTTATAAAGTGAAACCTGCATTAAAACAGCATACCTAATTCTCTTGTGAGAATGTATGGGAACTTGTAGCAGTCTGCTTAAAGGGCCTGGTGTTCTGCCATGAAAAGAAAAAATTGCTATGGATTTTTCATCGGGACTAATGAGGCACTGTAAGAAAATTGTAATTAGTAGAAGTGTACTTCATCCTGGTTTTCCCTACTCCTGCAGAGCCTGTTCCCTCTGTACACCAATGATTTACTTAATGGCATTCTCAGTCAAGTCTTCTGTAGAATACATAGCACTTTGGTAATACGGACTGTACATTCTTCTTCTTCCACTTCCTGCCTGAGAATATGCCACATGTTACCTTAGCGATACCTACAGATTATAATATTTAAATTTAAAATTTAAATTAAAATATTATGTTAAAATACATAATATTTTAATAATCAGCCACCACTGCCTTTTTGTAAATGATAAATATCAGCTTTTTTTTTTTGTAATAAACACATCTTAGTTTAGAATGAGATACAAAGTATGTAAGTGCAAAAAAATGCCTATTATTGGCTACCTTTTACAACCAGGTATCCCAGATACCTCACATTTGAGGCATTAGGAAGGCATTAAAACACTACTTTGTTTTGTCCTTTCAGATAGTATACAAAAACTTGTAGAGAACCTGAGGAGGAGCAAGGGAAATAAAGGGTACAAAGATGCTTTCCCTTACAGCTGACATTGCTGATTGAGCACAACCCATCATAAGCTGTGTCTCATGGAGGGGAGAAAAAGGCTACAATTATTAGAAGGAAAACCTGTGAACTTCTCAAATTTCTAATCAGCAAGTTGAAAAGACACAGCAAAAAAACCTGCCTAGGATTCAACAGCTCCCTAAACTTTCAGTGAAAAGTTAGCTGGGGCTGTTACTGAAAATGGCTTATTGCTCTGCCCTAACTGAAATTAATATTTTTTCTTATGCATGTGAGTAGACAATTAAGTCTTGAATGTAATATATTGGCACATTTTCTTTATATGAAAATACAATATTTATTGAGAATATCAGAATATAATAGCAACAAAACACAACTTCAGCAAAGCAGCCATTAGCACTAAGACCACACATGCTTTTTTTTTGTCTAGGCAGCCCTTCAATGCAAACTTCTGAATTAATTTTGTTCTAGAAAATGCTTCCCCCTTGGTCCCTTTCTAATTACCTAATAACTTTTTATTACTTTCAGATTTTTTTAAGGTATATTTTTTTCTAATTCAATATACAGTTAACTAAATAGCTATAATTTTAAAAGCAACCCAACACAATTTAGTTTGAAGTTATAGTAATACTTACACAAAGCAAAAATTAAAATACATCCCTGCCAACCAGTCTTAGAAATCTTTGGATCATAGGTGGGTTAAAGTTAACAAGCCTTTTCAAAATTGGTTTTCCACATTGAGAGTCATTTTCCTGTTCTGCTTTCCTCTAAGCTATAAACAAAAATGAGCACATTTGAAAACACATTTTCTGGCTACAGGAATGATATTTGTAAGGCACATATATATACAGTTAACGCCTATAGTCAAACTCCTGTTATCTACTCCCACACACACATACACCCCACAGCCTTTCAGCGAATTCTGTAATCAGACATTGGCTTTGGTCAACATTTCTGTAACAGAATGTTAAGGGTTGTACCTTTTATCACAGGTCATTGTCATATCCTTTCCCCGCACAGTTCTCTCAAGTTAGACTTATGCCTACATAACTTCAGTTACTCTTTCACAGCATTCACTATAGTCACCACAGAATAGGTAAAGTGATCTCATTTGTGAAGGTCTAAAAGTCTATGCAGAAAGAAAGCAACAGCTCTTGTGAATAGGTAAGGGAAGCAATGATAATACACTGCAATTCAGTAAAGGAATGTATTACATGTGCAGGCTCTTTCAGTGCAAATATGCATCTGCAAATACAGAATCAGAAATCACCTTGCTGGCTTGCCCTGGATGGCTGGTTGTAAAGTTAATCAAGTGTGGGGAAATCACAATGACAAAGCAAGTTTGTGATTGCAGTCCATGCATTAAGCCAGTTTGGAAAAAAACTTTAGAATTAAGGTTGCAGTAAAAAAAAAAAAAAAAAAAAAAAAAAAAGGATCAACATTTCCATGTCTGGATGGTATAGGATGATAGGCAGCATAAATTTACACAAAGTGACAGTGACTAGTGGAAGCTCTGGAAGAAGAAAGAATGCAACACAGCAGCATTTCAGTAGACACATTTTATACACAATGAAAAGGGTTGAAGTCTCCAAAAAGTGGGTCACTTGAGTGTTTGTTGCAGAGGGTGTGCACATGTGTATGAAACAAACTTTGTATACAGAACCAACTGAAAGCAAAACTCCATAAGGATACTACAGCAGATGGGCCTACAGGGAGGTCCAGGTTGAAAATGCAGTTGAATTCTAGAAGTAACAGCAGAACAGAACTCTCAAAAGGCATTTAACTCTTCAGGGGATGAGGTAGGAAGGTACTGCCACCTAGTATGTGCTAATTTACTTATTATAGATGGCCCCTTCTGAAGCTGAAATGTTTCATCAAGCACTCTTGCTACAGGAGCCCTTCTGTGGATATCATTTCATGTGGCACAGTGCAGTTTTTCCGAAACATTGTGAATGGAAATGAAAGGCTGGCAGCTATACTTCTTGTAAACTATGGATCCATCCCATAAATTTATACAACACCCTTCCTTTCTACACACATGCACACACCTGCCACCCCTCAAACAAATGGGAGCAGCTACCTCCTCTGAAGCGCTCACTCCAACAGTCCACCCTCCGGGTCCTTCACTGTACCTCAGCTAGCCTTTCCAAGAGCTGCTTTGTATCTCTTCCAATCTGGCCAAGCCACTTTTGATCCTCTCGTGCAAGGGGTAGCAAGTCTGTAGTATCATTCTCATAAGAATCTTCATTGGGCTACCTCTCACAGTTGTTACGTTGCCCTATTCGTTGCCCATATATATTTTTTGAAAAACCACCACCTTCTCTTCATTTCTGCACTTGGTCACACCACATTCTCTTACTGTTCTTTGTAACTACTTCCTTGTTTTCCTTCTCCCAGCACTCCCATTTATATATGCATATGAACAAACCAACAAGATAGGAAAGCAGGAACACATTTAATTTTCTTTTTTCCAGTCCTTATCCCTTCTATCATTACTTTTATTTGGTGACTCAAAGGCCAGGGCAAGCCCCCTGCTCTACATTTACGTGAAGATTTCCCTAACACCTGAAGCATCGTCATGACACAAACTTAGGGGTTCCAAAAAAAAAAAAAAAAAAAAAAAAATCAGTATTTTAGTTATTTACCAGAACTATATCTGGAGATATCAGCTGTGCATAAGGGAAGGATAAATTGTATTTTGTTAATGAACAAAAATGGTTTTTGTTCATCAGTTTTGGATCTATAGAACTGGTGGCAGGTCAAACAAAGCACAGGCTAGTGCTTGGAATTCACCACCCCCTTTTTTAAAAAAGTAGTCCACTCCATTGAGACAGAACAGTCACCTGTCCATTTACAAAAGTGGACAGTATGCCCCACATAAGCTTTTATTCTCCTGTGCTGAAGATTCCATTAGCTGGACTCCCCGCTTCTCTGTGCTTTTATCCCAAAGACTTGGTGTCTGCAGGATCTTTATGACTAGTTCCTCAAAGGCATGTTGCACTCCATCTTGTGTCTTGGCACTGGTCTCTAGTGCAGGGGGAAGAAAGGGGGGGGGGAAAGAGAATATTTTATCTTATTTGCAGGGAATATTGCACTTTGTGAGAAATTCTTTAGGGTCTAGAGAGAAGACATTTTTTTCAATGGGTGAATCTCCTCTCCATTTCTCCCTTAAAGACATGCTTAAGGTGAATATGATAAAGAGAAATGCACCCCAGTCTGAAGCATCTCATTTTTTCATTTAAAGGAATTCCACAGCTCCCCATTCTCTCCATAATGGAGAAAGAAATTGCTTTCAGGTTGTGTTAGTAAATCTACAAGATGATTATTCCATAACTAAGCTCGGAAACAAAAAACACAAAGGGAATTACATGTTTTTCCCCCATGTGTTTGTCCAGTTCCTTCTGGAAAAGTTTTCAAGAAGTTTCATTTAAAAGGTACTTTTTTTAAAGAAAAAAAATACAAAACTATTTGTTCTCCATCTTTATATCTTCACATTGTACATTTTATAGTTAGTCTAAGAATATTGTGTAGCTGCAACAGAAACTTGGAAATCAAAAAGAGATGACCCAAGGTCCTTGCTGATATCAGTCAGGAGAAAAATTCCAGTCTTCTGGGCTCCAAAATAAAAAACCCCTGCTAGTTTCAAGAGAATATAACATTCATGCCTACACAGTATATGAAGTAAATCTCTTTCAGAGAAAAGTACTTCAAATTTCAGTCAATGCAGAGCATCTCGGAAAAAAAGTTAAAACCTACATACAAGCATATGAACTAATGCAGCAAAAGGAAAAGTTCTTTTTCAAACTGGCAACCTGTCACGAGTGGGGTCCCCCCAAGGTTCAATATTGGGCCCGATGCTGTTTAGTACCTTCATAAGTGACCTGGGATGATGGGATCAAGTGTACCCTGATGAAAACTGCAGACAATAGCAAACTGAGTGGGGAAGCAGACACTTTGGGAGAGCCACTCTGCAGGAAGAGTAGGTTAACAAGAACCTTATGAAGTTCAACAAGGACAAGTGTAAGTTCTTGCACCTGGGAAAACATAATCCAGGAGTGCAGCACAGACTGGGATCTACCTGGCTGGGGAGCAGCTCTGCGGAAAGGGACCTGGGCGTCCTGGTGAACAAGCTCAGTGCGAGTGACCAGGATGCTGCTGCAGCAAAGGAAGTCAATGGGATGCTGGGTTGCATCAACAAGGGCATCACCAGCAGAGATAAAAAGTCGCTACCCTACTCTACTTGGTGCGTGTCAGGCCGCACCTGGAACACTGTGTTCAGTTTTGGGTCCCCACTATACAAAAACAGATGTGGCCCTGTCTCTTA